AAAAGAAAGAAAGAGAAAAGGAAAAAAAGTGAAAAAAGAGACAGGAGGAGAAAAGGTGTGGTTATCATAAAAGATAGAAAAGAAAAAGGAAAGAAAAGGAAAAGAAAGAGAGGGAGAAAATGGGAAAAAGAAAACAAAAAAAGATAGGAAGAGAAAAGGAAAACAAAAAAAAGAGAAAAAAGGAGAAAGGAAAGAAATCAAAAAAAGATAGAAAGAGAAAGGAAAGTAAGAAAAAAAGAGAGAGGAGAAAAATGGAAAAATTAATAAAAGATAGAAAGAGAAAAGGAAAAGAAAGAAAGAAAGAGAGACAGGAGGAGAAAGGGTGGAAAGAAAATAAAAAAAGAAAGAGAAAAGGAAAAGGGGAAAAAAGAGAGAGAGGGAAAATGGGAAAAAAAATCATAAAAGATAGAAAGAGAAAAGGAAAAAAAGTGCAAAAGAGAGACAGGAGGAGAAAGGATGTGGTTATCATAAAAGGTAGAAAGAGAAAAAAAAAAGAAAGTGGAAAAGAGAGAGAGGGAGAAAATGGGAAAAATTATCATAAAAGATAGAAAGAGAAAAGGAAAGCAAGTGCAAAAGAGAGACAGGAGGAGAAAGGATGTGGTTATCATAAAAGATAGAAAGAGAAAAGGAAAGTAAGTGGAAAAGAGAGAGAGGGAGAAATGGGGAGAAAGAATCATAAAAAATAGAAAGAGAAAAGGAAAGCAAGTGCAAAAGAGAGACAGGAGGAGAAAGGGTGTGGTTATCATAAAAGGTAGAAAGAGAAAAGGAAAGTAAGTGGAAAAGAGAGAGAAGGAGAAAATGGGAGTGGTTATCATAAAAGATAGAAAGAGAAAAGGAAAGCAAGTGCAAAAGAGAGACAGGAGGAGAAAGGGTGTGGTTATCATAAAAGATAGGAAGAGAAAAGGAAAGCAAGTGCAAAAGAGTGAGTGGTGGAAAACTGGAAGTGGTTATCATTTTGAAAATGATAGAAAAACAAAAGGGAAACAAGTGGAAGATAGAGAGGGGGAGAATGAGAGTGGTTATCGCTTAGAAAAGATAGAAAGTGAAAAAGGAAGCAGGTGGAAGAGAGTGAGAGAGAGAGAGAGAGATGAGCGAGATAAAAAAAAGTTATGAATATTTTAGAGAGAGGAAGGTATATTAAGAAAATATGATGAAATATAGAGGTAAATATTGAGAAACACACCCAGTGAAAAGAAGAAAAGCAAGAAATCCATTGAATAAGAAAGAAAGAAAGAAAGAAAGAAAGGGAACAAGTGAATAAAATATTAAGAAAGAAAGTAAGAAAGATAGAAAGAAAGAAAAACCCAAATACCGATTGACTTAGTGTTTGTCAATAAAGACAGGCAGATAGAAAATGAATTGGAAAGAAAAGACAGACGAGGAAGCAATAGAAGTTTGATCGTATAATAAATGGATTAGATGAGAAGTTTCACTTCTCAAAACATTCCCCCTCCCTTTGAACTTGTATTCAGCAGTCCCTCCCACTTAATCTGTATTCTCAGCATTTCCTCTTTCTAATCCTGACCCATGCACTCACCTGGGTTTAACTCTCCAGACCCACATCGGTCGAAGGTTATTCCTGGCACTGTCTTTACCGCGATAATCCATACACCTGACCAGAAAGCAATACTGCGCATGTCCCTACGCATTCCTGTTGACATAATGCACAGAGTCAACATTAATCTGAACCTCCATGTTATCAAAAGCACAGGAGAACTGACCCAGCCAAAGACAGGCTCAAGTCCCCGGTGTTTTCACGCTATTTCCGATCCCGGATCATCCACAAATAGGATCATCGGCGAAGAAGAGAACAACAACGATTACTTCTTGATACACACGCTCTTTTTCTTTGTCTTCTTTTTTCTTTTCTTTTTCTTTTCTATTTTTGTCATTTTCATTCATCAACTCTTTTCTTTCATCTCAAACATTTTCTTCTCAATTTTCATTGTTTCTTTTCAGTCTTTCATTTCTCCAAGAAATTTATTCTTTATTCTTCTCTGATTTCTTTTTTTATGAAATCTATTCAAGCTAATATTTGGAGATAACAAAAACCTGATATTAAATCGACTGGAAAATAAATTTAGAAAAGACGATATTTTACACATGAAAACATTATTTCATAACCTATGATAAACACATAAATGGCCCACCCTGGGTATGACGATAAACTACATCCGGCAGCAAGACCTCTGATTGGGAGGTTTTGAGGAGCGTGGAGCCACCTTTTAATTGGTGTTTTTACCAGATCTAACCTGACCCAGGCTGGTAGAAAAATTTTAACACCCCCAAACTGGGGTCAAAACCCTATGAAAGTATAAAAATTGATTTTTATGGTAAAAATACCAGCAATACATTTTTGAAATAAAATATTACAGCAATACATTTTTGAGAAAAAAAAAAATTACCAGTAATACATTTTTGAAAAGAAATATTACCAGTAATATATTTTTAAATTATCAGCAATACATTTTTGAAAAAAATATATTACCAGCAATATATTTGAGTCTTGATAAAAATTATCTTTATAAAAATACGTCAATGAAACCTGATCTCTTATAAACTGATTACAAAGAATACATATTCTATTCATAATAGAAAGAAATGTCAACATTAAATAACCCATAGAGCTTTTGATTTGCCCTAAGACAAAATAAACCAAATCAACAAAACCAGAAATAGCTTTGTGTTTCAAAAGATTCTATGTAAAGGGAAAAATGCAGATGGACGTATTAATATTGAAAATACTGTTCACCTTACCATATAACAATGGCTGACTACCCGTTTCCAAGCATGCCCGTGTCTTAGATTGGATGTCTAATCCCTGTTGCAGACGCCTTCTCTGGCACCTGTGGTTTAAACTGCAACTCTGCTGAAAGATAGAGAGAGAGTATTAAAGCAGAGTAAATGTTAGATGAGTCGGGGACATTGATGCTAGCATACAACCATCGAAATCTTCCCAACACTTTCACCCGCCCAATTTCACTCAAATGCCTTGGACGATCGTAGTTGGATTCGAACCCGGGTCTGATAGTCGGAACGCGCCCATAGATCACTAACAAATACATACAAAATGTACTATTCGTGTATTTATTCAGTCTAAACAACACCCAAGAAAAGAATATACTGGAAACTGATTTTTCCCAGAAGGCCACGAATTGTGGTTTTTTTGAAACGATACAATGTCATATTCTGGCAACTCTTATTTTTATTTCTTTTTGACGCTAATCATTTTTCGTCTTCTCATCTAAATCTTGTCCCTTCGATCAGCCTCGCTAGAGAATTTGGTAATGAATTTTCTAAAACCGTTTGGTTGCATGTTCGGGCGCATGCGTGTTTGCACGTATAGAACGTCTAAAATCGTTTTCCGTCAAGGGATAAAAGCGCGCGCAACTTCGGCTCATTTCATTGGTTAAATTCGTCTTATTTTACTATTTGTTGTTGCTTTTAGAAAGAATTTCAATGATATGAGCGTCGTTCTGAACGCTAAGTGGGCGGTTTATGAAAAGCTGTTCGATCTTAAATTCCTGTTCTAACGACGAACACACGGAATATGGAGGAAAGAATAAAGAAAGCGAGTTTGATGCCTGTAAATTCATACCGAATAGTTATGTAGAAGCACCGGCTATAAAATGATGGTTAACAAGCTAGGGTTGCAGCTTTTTTGTCAGTTTAATCAACAGAATTCTCTCTTTAATACTCATTTATAGTGGCCTTCTACCATAATGAACTAAGCTTAATAAATACATGCAATCGTCATGTTGTATCAAACAATTTTTAATAATAAATGTTTTATTTGAAATTCCTCCTTATATTTCAAGTTACGAAATTTGCAATTCTATGCTAAGGTCATTACAACATTGGTTCAACAAAGAACCCATGATAATTATGTGCATTATGTAATTATGTGGCATTTCAGCGTCTGTATTATTTGTTATTCTTTTGCTGTCACTTTTAAATTTGCTAACCACACACAACGACGCATTTTATCCAAAATATGTACAATTCAAATTTTAATAGAAAGATAAAGGCGACTGCTGCTATTATTTTCAGATCCTTTAATTTTTTTTTGCAAATCCTTTAATACAAAAACTGAGAAAACAATTTTTGTAAATGCTACAAATGTGAAACTTTTAATAAATCCATGAAAGTGCGAATTGCTTTCTTTTTTTTTAAATGGAGAATTTAAAAGTCATTTAACTGAAATTTACATTTGATTAAAGTTGAACTTATAGGAGATCATTACTGTGAAACAATGCTTAGAAAACTGCACTCGCAGGCTATTATTAGTGATTTTTTTTATTTCAAAATTGCGTTTTTGGTTTATTATTTCATTGATTATTATGTATATCTAGTGTAATATAATAACAACACCAAGTAGAAGCTTATGAAGCTTTATTAGAATAATTCAGCTTTAGCGATGGAGAGTTACAAGCAAGAAGCGAGATGGAGTGTAATTATTTTATTGCCGCATGTACTTTTAACAAATGCAGAAGGAAGTCATTTCATTCCATTTTGTTATTATTATCAGATAGATAGATAGATAGATAGATAGATAGATAGATAGATATGTGTTGGAGTTTTCTGCGAAAACTGGCAACAGAAGAGAAAGTTAAATATCGTCACTTGATTTAAGCAAACTCTAATTCCAACAAACGGCTTTATTCCCAAACTGACATATTCAGTTTCTGCATAAAGAATACGTCTCGTCTGAGAATAAAACAAATAAACAGCGGGTTGGCGGGCTCTGGACATTTTGCTTTCATTACAGCCCTTTGCTTGATATATTTGAGCATAATTTCTTCTTTTTTTTTACTAATTGTTCCCCTAATACAAAGCACATGAGCCATTCAAGGTAGAAAATTACTGATTGAGGTTGTTGCATGTAAGACGAACATTTTAAGAAGAGATGTAGGAAATATATTGGTTAAACTTGAAGAGATGAATATTGTAGTGATTTGGGAAACAAACTCTCGGGAGCCTGTTCCATGATGCATGCAGAG